CTTCCCCCGCCCCAGCAGTCCAGCCACTGCCACACGAGACTCCAAATTCTCGCAGGGCCCACCTGCCACCTCCCCGTCCCCTCCACGGCACACACAGGGCTGCTCGAGCGCTCTCTTAAGCAAAGCCACCTGCCCAGAGCTCTTTCTAGGACCCGACTGCCCTTGGTGTCCTGCCACCACTGACCCCTGGCTCCCCCACCTCAAGGGCCTTCACCACACTATTCTTTTTGCCCTCCTGACTGTCTCCCCCAAACCACATTCTGTTCCCGTTAAAATCCACTCCCACCTTCTATCTTCAGAGAAGCCGGCCCTGCTTGTACTGCTTGACTGTGGGGACCCTGCCACTCCGTCGCCATAAAGGTCACCTCTGGCATTTGTTTCCAGAACACCTGTGGGAACTGGTATTACTAACTGCTGTACATGTGAACAGCCCGGGCTCAGCATCATGAGTGAGTTCCCCAACTCTAGAGAGGTGAACCCCAACTCAAAGCCAGACCCCAACTCCTGCTCCAAAGCACTTTCTACCACAGCACCGCAATATCCTGTGGTGGGAGCCTCCAGAGATCAGGGAAGGGCATCCTTTCCCTGACAGTCCCTCAGAGTTCAGGACAGGGATCTGCCAACCAGAGGAACAGGGCCAGGTCAGGGCAGGCTCTGCTGGCATGGCTGTTGGCCACCTTCAAGTGCAGTGCGACCCCTGTGAGCACGGCAGAGACAGAAAGGTGATGACAGTCACTAGTGGCAGCTCCCATTCACTGGGCATGCTGCTAGCTAGTTGTTTCTAGTTGTTTATTTACATTAATCTCCAAGACAAATCTCTAAAGGAGGTATTATTATTGCCAATTGAGGAAACTGATGGTCAGCAGTGTGGGGCCAGGATTCAGCCCATGTCTGTCCGACTCTGAAAGGGGCACATAAATAGCAGAATTCCATTTATATTTAAAAATATGATAATCCCTTACTCCCTGAAGACCTGCCCTACCCTGAGTCTTCCTTTCCCAGAAAACAGATCTTAGGGAGAAGAAAGCAGGGCAGGCTGCACCTCACACACAAATGCACCCACATTTTCTTACACAGACACACACAGGCCACGTAGGCTTTTCACCCACCTCCCTGGGTTTCCTAGCCAGGGTGAGGGCCATGAGGAGCAGGGGTCAGTTTCCCCAGAACCCCTTCCCCAGTGCTAAATAAAGGTGAATAAATACTAAATAAATACAACAGGGCCATCCTGCCTTCCCCTCCCTCCTGTGACCAGCAGGGCAAAGGGGCAGTTTAGACAGGGGACTGTCTCCCAGCCCCTTCCATCCACGGTTGCTGCCTCCAGGGCAGGAACCAGGCAGGGCCGGCCTGTACATCGTTGTTATGGGGGCTAGCTCTCCCCAGTGTGTCCAGCGTGAGGCTCCTGCAAAGCCCTTTTCTCCCAGCTAAGTCTGGGCCAGTGCCAGAAAGGGCATGTGAGGGCCGGGATGGTGAGGCTACTTCCTGCCGGCCCAGGGGCGCCGCCGGAGGACCTCCAGAATCTGTGCCTTGCGGTGCAGCCAGTCCTGGGCAGCGGGGCGTGGCGGCGGAGGGGCGGGCAGGGGCACGAAGAAGCTGTACCGGATGCGCGCATTCTGGGCACTGCCAGCCACCAGGACCTGCAGCGTTAAGGGCTGGGCCAGTGGCCCGTGACCCGCCAGTGTCTCAGAGGCTGCCGTGGCCCCACTGTAGCGCAGGCTGACTGCCCCAGGCAGCACCACGTCGGTGGAGGAGGGTGCCAGTGTGTATCCACCATTGAGGGCATAGGAGCCATCTGGGAGCTTCAGGGCCAGGTAGAGGCTCCTGACACCAGGGGTCCCCTGCTGCCGCACCAGGATGTGGGTAGCCCCCGCTGGTATAGTGACCACATTGTTGTATCCGTACCTGTGTGAAAGGAATAAAGGTGAACTCAGCATCTTTCTGAATCCCCTCAGCCTTCTGAGCTCTGTGTGTGTATGTATATGAGTGTGAGTGTATATGTGAGTGCATGTGTGCATGACTGTGAATGTGCGTGTGTGTGTGCATGTGTGCATGAGTGTACATGTGTGAGTGTGCATGTGTGTGAGTGTACATGAGTGTGTGTGCATGTGGTAGAGGGCTATCTTTCCAGACGTCTATGAGGTGTCTCAGCTACCTGCAAATGTGCCTTCACCCTGTGACCTCTGGACTTTACACCTGCTCTGCCTTCACGGAGGTGCCTACCCTTCTAAGCCCAACCTCCTTGGTGCCTGTCCAATTCCTACTGTCCCTCCAGGAGGGAGGCCACCTCCTGGGGACTGTTGAACAGGTAGGTTACTGCTGTACCTGCTGACGGCTTGCTCTCTGTCTCCTCCACTAGCCTATCAGAGGAGAGACAGTGTTGAGTTCACCTCTTATCCCCCCAGGCCCAGAATAGTGTCCAGGAAGGTAGGAGGAGGAAATAAATAGTGGATGAACCTGAACTTTCTGAAGGAGCCAGACTGCTTGCTGCAGCCAGAACCATCTCCACCACACACCATGCATTTGTCAAACTTCTTTTTGGAGCCAATGACGCGGTCACAGCCAGCATGGATGCAGCGGCCCTGGACACAGACCGAGGAGCTGTCCGGGGAACAGGGTGTCCCATCTACTACCTGAGGAGAAGAGAAGGAGGCATTCGAAGGGTTCTTCCCATGCCCAAGGGGCTGATAACCAGACAAGACACATATCCCACGAGGGAGGGACTGTGGATGGAGTGGGGAGGAGCCCAGCACGAGGCCAACAACAAAAGCCACCGCCGTCCGAGCACCTCGGAGTCAGGCACCAGGCCAAGTGCTTTACAAACGTTTATATATAATTCTCACAACCACAGCTGGAGGGTTCTAGAGCTGGGATACTGAGGTTCAAAAAGATTAGGAAATTGTCCAAAGGCTACATAGGCGTCTGGCAGGCAGAGAACAAGCTGGGAAAAGCAGGGCTGGTTGCAGGACTGGGGAGTCCCAGCACCAAGCCGGAACCTTGATGGTACTGTCCCAGACAAACACTAGAGGGCAGCCACCTGTAGGCATTCTACTCAGTGCAAGGCAGAGGGAGCGGACTGGGGGGGCTTTTCTTTCTCCTGCAGCCTCCAACCAGTCGCCCTACCACAGAGAGGAGCCCAGGGGCATCACTGTCTCTAGGAGGCCTGTCCAGTGAGGACCGGTCATTCATGAGCTGACTGAGGCACTTTTGTGATTTGGTGGAGGAGCCCATGGAACAGGGTCAGAGACTTGAGCCAAAGGCCACATACTTGCATTTTTACAACACTAAGCACGGGAAGGGGGGTGGGGGAGTGAGAAGCCGAGGAAGAAGGGACAGGCTAGCACTGCCCGATGGGGTTTGTTTTCCAAACATCCGCAAACAGATAGGTCCCATGGACCCTTGAGCTGGCCTGGAGTGGCTGTGGGACAGCCAGCAGTGGAGGACTGTGCTTTCAGAAAGTAGAGGGACTGTTGGGAGTGTGTGGGCACAGACAGGCCCAGGCATCCTGGCCCTTACCCGTGGCTCCAGCACATAGTAGTAGCCCAGTGCCCGGGCCTGGCAGGTCAGTTTGCACTGGTCTTGGGGGGCCACGCCTGTGTAGCGGGGGACCCAGTCCATGGGCCCTGGGAAGCTCTTGAAGAGGTCAGTGCGGTGGTTGTAGGCAGCACACTGCTCTTCCCGGAAGGTCAGTGCTGTAAGGGGTGATGTGCACAGTCAGGGCCCCTCCCTCCTCACACTGCCCACCAGCCCCTGCACCTTGTACCTCAGACCTCCTACAACTGGCACCTCTCTTCCCCACAGACTGCCAGGGAGGATCCTGAAGGGTAAAGTCACTGCCTTCCACTGCAGGGACACACAGCACCTCCTTGGTCCCCAAAGCACTCACCACCCCCAGGGCTCTGGTCCCTCCCATTCCTCACCAGAGCCTGCTGGGCAGTCCTGAGTGCTGCAGGAGCGGAATCTGGTGCGACGGCCCTCACAGTACTTGCCGCCATTCCGGGGAACCGGCCGCGTGCAGTCCCGGGAGGAGAACTGGACACCACCCCCACAGCTCCGAGAACAGTCGCCCCATGATCCCCAGGGGCCCCAGCCACCAGCCTGTGGGATCTGCAGCAGCACAGAACGGAAGGGCGGTAAATACGCTCTCTCCTGGGCTCCAGGCCAGCCCCTCCTCCCCCAGGCCCTCTGCCCCACCCCTGCCTGGGACTTCACCTTGAAGTCCTGGAGCTGGTCCACGTGGAGACAGCGGCCACCCATGCAGGCCTGTAAGGGCCCACACGGGGTGCCATCGGCCCATGGTGAATGCTTGGTCTGGCACATGGCATGACCATTGAGGTGGCCAGAGCACCAGAGGGCAGCACAGGGCGGTGGCAGCTGTGGACAGTGGTGTGAATCGGGCCCGAAGGTCAGCTGGCACTGGCGGTCAGCATCATAGTCTTTGCCAGGGAAAGTCACAGGCAGGTGGAGGGGAGCCTTTGGCTCATCTAAGAGACAGTGCCCTGGGAGGAGGCAGAAGCTAGAGTCAGAGGTGGGACAAGGCACCACTCAAGATTGTTCTGGGAGAGCTTGGGCTTCCTGGGGCCTGATGGATCCTGGGACCCAAAGCCTAGGCCTGCAAGAAGCTTTAAATAGCAGCTGCAATTTACTGGATGCTTACTAGTGACAGGCATCAGCTCGCTGCTTGTCCAACACCGTCTCATTGAATCACAGCCAACACCTAAGAGGCAGTTACCACCATCATGCCTGTTATAGGTCAGACACAGGGGCAAAGCAACTCACAGCCACACAGCCACACACATCTCAAGAACAGGAGCAGGACAGCCATCAAGCACCACAGCTTCTTGCCTGCTCTAACCAACTGCAGAGCTGCTGAGTTTGCTTCTCACCAGCAGCCCTGCCCGGGGGATGGCCACCCTGCTGGCTTACACACCTCAAGTGACAAGGCAGTCACCTCCACTGCCAGCCCATTCCAGTACTGGATAGCTCTGGCCCTTAGAAGCTCAGTTCTAATTCTGTTGAACCAAAATTTGCCTCCCCTTGCTGAGCTACTTATTCTGGGAGGTAATGGGAAGCACACAAAGACAGCAGCCTCCCCCCACCTCTGCAGAGGGAGTCCATTTGGCCCATGCAGAAGGAGGCAGGAGAGAGTACAATGGAGCAGGAACTGCGTCCTGTCCAGGGAGGGGAGCCTGCCCACCGTAGCCATTGTCCAGGAAGTCCGTGACGAAGCGGGCACTGCAGGGAGACCAGGGCTCCTCGGGATCCACATGAGCCATCACAGGAGCCATGACATGGCGGGAGGTGCTTCCAGGACCATTCAGACCGACGCATGGCTTGGAGTTGTCGTGAAGCATGTTGAAGACGTGGCCTGTGAGAACAGAGGTCCTGCTGGAGTCCGAGGGTCCCCTCCCCGTGTCCTCAGGGAGCTGCAGGGCCATCCCAAACCTGGTTGCAGCTGTGGATGGCCCCATCCTGCCTCAGCCCCCTTCTAGTGCTCTGAGGGCTCCTCAGGGTGCAGCTCCACCAGAGCTCTGCCTCCCCTTCTGCAAACTATACTCAGGGCCTCTCCCCACCCACTTTCCCTTGCAGCCAATATTTCCAACCCAGCACCCATCCATCCTATCCCACACAGACATACAAACATCACACTTATACACATTCACACACACTCACACACACACTCACACACAGAGTTGCAGTGGGCTTCCACACACTATCTCACTTATTAGAAAACCTAACTGCTTGTCTACCCGCAGAACAGAGGACAATGGCCCTGGACCTGAGCCCAGAGAGAAGGAAGAAACACCTTGAGACCCATTTGCACCCTAGTGAGCTCACTGTCCCCTTGCCTCACCTCTGACACCTCTCTCATTCCTCCCAGATGTCACAGGGCCCCCCTCACTGTACCCAGTTCATGAGCAGCAGTGAAGGCCGACTGGAGTCCGTCATCCTCGACCACAGCACAGCTCCGAGCCGCGTCACACACAGTGCCCACGTCGGCCATGCCCAGAGTGTCACAGGTAGAGACCCCGCACAGGTCCTGTGGAGGAGATCACAGAAAACGATTGAAGAACCAAGGCAGCAGGGTCCAATGGGCTAAGGCCCGGATTAGTGGGGACTCAGTAGCACTAGGATGTAGACAGGCACCGCCTCACACAACTGCAGGCGCCATTTACATCCCCCTCAAGTCTGCATTGCGTGGCTGTGGTGCGGGCCGGGCCTCACCTGCCGGGTAAACAGAATGGCTGTGTCAAAGTGATCTGGGTCTGAGTCTTCGGGGGTGTTGAGTCCTTGCTGCCAGGTACAGAAGCTGTGCAGAGTCTGGGAGGCACTGGGCCCCACCTTGGGCCCTTCCTCACCGGGCCCCAGAATCACCAGCCGAGTCACCACCAAGCTGACAGGGTTGCGGATGCTCGGATGCTTAAACGCTTTGGCCGCAGCTGCCATGACTGTGAGCAGGTAGCGCTTCAGCCCTGCGCCGTGAAATGCTGCCATCTTGTCATCTGCCACCACCAGGGTCTCCACAAATCTACTCAGGGAAGCAAAGCGCTAGGGAGAAGGAGAGGGGGACCTGAAACAGCCTCCCACATGCCACCCCTTTCCCTCCAGTGCTTCATGACTCTGGAGCTGGGCAGAGCAGGCTGGGCCCCCCACCCACCAGATTCCTGCAGGCCTCGCTTGGTCCCTCCCCCAGCCCCAAATCCCAGAGCTTTTGTGCTAACTCTAAGAAATCAATTGTTGGTTCAGAGATGGGGGGGGG